GAGGAGGAGGAGGAGGAGAAAGAGGATAAGAATCCCTCCCCATTCCCCCCAGCCGCCTCTGCGTGTGGCCGACAGAGAGCGCCACCCAGGATGCAGAGCTGGTGCTTGGGGACGGCCCTAGGGCCGACGGCCCGTTTTTCTCGGGACATGCTTCCGTCGTGGTGAACCGCCTGTTCCTCGTTACCTCTTCCCTTTCTCGCCGTCGTCGTCGTCCTTCCTCCTCATTCCTACTCCGCCGCCTCCTCCCTCCTCCTCTCTCGTCCTCTTCTTGCGCTCCTCCCCCCTCCTTCGTTCTGATCCTCCCCTCATTATTCTCCCAGCTCCCCCTTCCCGCCCGACCCCCCCTCTTCCCCTCTGATCTCCATCCCTTGGCCTCCCCCAGTGCCGCGTCCTCCTCCCCCTGTGTCCCATCTTCCTGTGTGGCATCGTGCCAAGCATGTCCCACCCGCTCTGGCGGTAGGTGAGGTAATCGGTAGGATTGCTTTTGAAGAGCGCCCCATCTTCCCGTGTCTTCCCGTGAGGTATCGTATCAAGCATGTCCCACCCGCTCTGGCGGTCGATGCGGCCATCGGTCGGATTGCTTTTGCGCAGCGTTCGGGCCAACGCCAGCCGCTGTGTGCGCGTACCGCCATCGTCCTCATGCGCCTCATCCTGATCATAAGGCGTATTACGCCGCACCGCCGACCCCCTGGAGCCCTCGGGATTTCTCCGACTGCAGATTGGAAGCGTCCCGCAAGGTGTCCTCAACGAGTGGCCCACAGGTAAGCCAAGTGCTCGCAACAAAGAAGAGCAGCAGTTCGAGGAATGCATTCGATGCGCTTCGCACGGCGCGGAGCCTTGTCAGAGGACAACTTGGATTTCGGGGACTGGTGCGCGCGGTGGAGGAGACGTCAGCGTTGATGCGAAGTTCAAACCGGTTGACGTCACAGACTCGCCTAAATCAAGATTCTCCGCCACCTAGACCTCTTGGGAGCCTTGGCTTCCGGGCTGTGGCCGCCATTGAGCCGTTTGGGTGCGGGGGCCTTGACGTGAAAGATGCGTCCGTCGCTGAGTCGTCTCAGGGCCCTCCGGGGGGATTTCTCCAGATATTGGTTGAGGCATGTCGTGGGTCTTTTGGGTGCCCTTGGGTATATCTTGGAGGCGAACGGCTCCGGGGCAGTCTTGGGGGCCTCTGGGGGGCTCTTGGGGAGGAACCACGTAGAACGCCGGCAGTGCCCTTCTGCCATCTTTCTTGGAGGCTTTTTGGCGGCCTGTTCTGGTTTGGAGGCTTTGGGGAGGCTTCTTGGGGCCTCTTGGGGGCCTCTCTTGGGAGCCTCTTGGAGGCCTCTTGAAAGCTACCTGGGGACCTCTTGGGGCCTCTTGCGGGCGTCTTCTGGCCTCTGCAGGCTTCATTGGGCCTCTTAGGAAGAAGAGGCTCCGAAAGCCAGTTCGGTTTCTCTCTCCTGGGCCCGTCTTGGGCTGTCTTGGGGGGCTATCGGGGCGTCTCGGCGCCCTCTTGGGCCGTCCTGGTGTCCCCTTGGGTGCGTTTTGGTGGCTTCTTGATTCTAAAGTGAGCTGGGATACAGGCGAGAGGTAACGAGCGTGTGTCCGCGGCCATTTTGGCTCAAGCGGCCAGCCGCGCAGATCTGACTACACCTCAGCGTGAGGTGTAACATTTGCCATCGAGACCAAAATATCATTTGCTTGAGATGGCTCGTCGCTCCCGCGCGACGATTTCTCTCCTGCTGGGACTATCGCTACTACGGTACAACAGAATTGGATATGGGCTTCGCCTTAGGCGAAGCTGCTGGTTGGGCCTCCCAACCCCCTTCAAACTTGGTAACGGAACTGGCCTATGGTGGTCAGCTCTCGCGCTACTCCTCACCATCCACGGCACTATCTGCTGGACTACTGACATGGTGGAACATCAGGGGGCCGTGGGTCTGCGCGGAGGAATGTACACAACTACGCACAATCGCAAGCACACTTGCAGTGCGACCTCTGGTTTCGCGGAGGCCTCTGACTCGAGTCCTGCATCCCTGCGCTACGACACTACTGAAGTCCACCCATCTACAAATTAGAAACTTTCTTGAAGATACCATGCATGACAACATGCGATACGACATTGTGCCGCTTCCACTCCCACGCAGGCTTACAACAAAACACCACAAACCCCAGCCACCAATACCCGACCACGACCTACGGGGCCATTGGATTGGCATTACTATCTTTGGCTTTATTTGGGTCGCTATCGGGTGCGCTGTGGGAAACATGCGTGGCGGAGACGACACAAGAACAACCGACCCCCACTGGGACCCGGTCGGTCAAATACCTTTTCCGCGAATTCGTTCGAGAGGTACATGCCTGGATCAACGTGACCACAGGCACCATGGCGCTCTCCCAACAAGCTGCAGCACTGCAACGAGGCTTGGGAGGCCTCGCGCGGACCATAGCCATGAGAGTTCCCCCAGCAGTTATCAATTTCGGCGTGAACATAGGTGGTCGCCATGCCGATGGCGTCACCTACATCATGTTCCTCTGAAGCACGAAGTTCGAGAACCTAGAAGAGGAACGCCAATTTAACTCTGGCGCAGCTCTCATTGACTGCCGAGTCCATGCGGGAAAACGGATCGACCAGACTTTGGCACGTTTCGAGATAACCCGCTATGAAGCTGAGGCGGCAGGCTTTAACATCCCCAATGTCCAAATTCTAGCAGTCATTCTATTCAGAGTCCTAGGAGTGGGGACGTCGCGTGCGCAACAACTCCTACAGCCGCTGAACCACCGCATTCCGAGGGGCCAGCAACAACTTGACTCTCTGCTTGAACGCGTGAGGTCATATGCCCACATTGCTGATATAACCCCTGGCAATATTGGTAGCATCTTCAGTCACGGTCACCGCGCCGAGACCTTCCACGCTGAGGCTAACGCAGGGCAGCCCGCCACTAACGTCTGGAACGACGATCCGCAACCGACGGATACCACCGCGCTATTAACTCAAAATGATGCTTCGGCCTCGGGATTGCAAGACTCCTGGGCCAGGTTTCGGGGGCCGCCTGATGCGGCGGCCCCTACTCAAGCCACTACCCTAATAGGCTCATCGGGGCAACCTGCCGAATCCGACTTCGACTCTGGAACCGACGCCGGCGCGTCTTCAGACGACGAGGCGACTGCCCTAGACCACTCCGACATGCCCACGTACCTCACGGAAGAACAACAGGCGCAATGGATATTCTTAGGGTATCAGAAACACAAGCGCCGATGGAGGCGATTGATGAAGAAGCCAGTCCGCAAGGTACGACGTACTATCCGACGGGCACTCAGGGGAAAGGGCAAGGGTCGAGGCAAGGGTAAAGGCAAACGACGGCGACTGCATGGCAGAGGTGTGTTAGCATTCCTAGCATCCTTTACTGGTCCGCAGTATGAAGAGTTGCAGACAGGAACCGTCGGCGCACTTCAGGAACAGGTAAGGGACGTCGGGGCAACCCGAAGGATGCTTACGGTAAAACAATGGAATGTGAGATCTGCCATAACACGCATCATTTTCGCCGTGAGTGCCCTCGGGGCGATGGGAGAGGCAGAGGTCCGTCGATGCATTTGGCTCAAACTGATTCGGACATGCAGTTTGTTGATTGGGAGACACGTTTAACCGACCCTGCCGACCGCTCAGTTGCAAATGTTAACTTCATGGCTGCCAAATTTTGGAGTGCCGGTATTTCCCTCGAGAATTATGCCGACGAGGCGTTCGAGGAGATATTCGCTGGCCACAGCGAGAGCGACCTGGCAGGCTGGCTGGGCATGCCCGTCGCGGGGCGACCTTCCGATATTGAATTGGTCAAGAATTTCCATGCGCCCGCCGAAGCAGATCGCGAAATGGCGGGGGCGCCCGTTGATTCAGAAGCCACCACTCTTGCGACAGAAGAGGAAATACAATCGATGCCCTATCCTCGGGTTATTGGCAATCCGGCAAACATTGGCCATTTGCGGAAAAGGCCGCGAGATACAGGCGATCTGTCAGAGCGCATCCAGGACGGGCTCGGCCACTACGAAGGACTTCAATATGCATTCGCAGCTGCGGAGCGTTCCCTGAGCCGCCAGGAGCGATCGGCAAGCCGTCAAACCTGGAGACGCACGTACTGCGCTGACGATGATGACGAAGAGTGGGAAATTGGCCCACATCTGTTACGTCGCGGTCGGGTCCGCAGTGGGTCGCGCGAACCTGCGCGCGCGTGCTCCAGCGGCGCTCGCTCCAGCGGCCTTCAGCGCCCTCATCCTCCTGGTGCGAGGGCCCCAAGGGCCCCATCCAGGGAGGGGCAGTGGACCTGATGCCCCACCGAGGAAGGAGCGCTTGCGGGGACACCCGCATCAAAAGGAATATCCTCAAGAAGAATACCCAGAGGGCGAGATGCAGCGCCTTGTTGACCGCAAGAGTGCTGCATTGGCTCGCCAGCACATAGATCCCGATGCGATGCGATATTACCAGGACCGAGGTTATACCGAACATCAGACCCGCCACCGGCATTCTCTTCACAACGTTAAACGAGATGACGAAGGCAAAGCCATTCGCTCGAACAGAAAAGGTTGTCAAAACACTATGGGCCCTTGAACAGCGGGGTTCAATGAGGGCCATCATCGAAGAACGAAAACTTTACGGAGGTGTTGTTTGCACCTGTTTCGAGTACGCCGGCCATAGACTCCGCGGCCCGATGAGGCGCCCATCAAAGAGCCCCAACTCCCGCAGGACGGAATCGCTGCGCCGATCCGAACAAAACACCACTCGACGAGCAGTTGACGCACCTAGACTAAGAGACAGCCAGAGATCATGAAAAAGCCAGTGCTAACGCTCTATGGGAGAACCTCTTTCTCCTTCTCGTAACTTCAAGATGTTCAATCGCGAGTGGCATGCGGGAAGATCTGCTTCGTCCAGACAAGAAGATGATGACCGGCAAAGAAGATGATGAAGCTGAGGAATTGGCCGAATCAGTGGGCCCTACAGCAGAGGCCCCTCCAGGGTACTTCTCGGATTACTCCGACGCCCTCTCCACTGTCACGGACGTCACGTGCGATGCGGACACCCCCATTGATCCGATGGACATCGTCGCGGAAGACATGGACCTTCCCCCTGGAAGAAGAGTCGCCAACCGCGCTGGATCTGTAGGTTGGGTAAAGACAACTGTTGTCGAAATGCTTTGCGCTAACAAATAGAACCTGTCCATTAGGGGCAAGGCTACTATCGGGAATGTGGCATTCAGAAAGTCTGACGGGGGGGGGCCTCAACCCTGACAGAGGGCCCGTGCGCTATGCGCCGTGGGCACCTGCAGGGGCAACGCCAAAGGCACCTCCTCCTAAGCCGAGGACTAGGCCAAAGAAAGATCAGCCTATATTTGTGTCTGCATCTTCGAATTCTTCGAGCAATCCTAAGTCAACCGGTCCTGATCAGCTTGCGCCACCGCCTAAAAAGAAGAAGAGGAAAAGCCCGGATGACCCCAATCCTGGCAATAGCAGGCATCAGCGACCAGCGGGGCAGCCTGCTGTGCGACGCCGATCCAGGGAGTCAGCAGTGACCGCCGCGGCAGCTGCATATCAGGGCGCCACCACTCCTACTCCAAAGGAGCCTGTGGCTCGTCGCGGCCCTGCGCCTTGCCGGACGCACGGGATTGGCTGGGCGCCGA